TAAAATGGTAACAGTTATCAAATTAGTTTAACAGGCTGTTTTTAGCTGATTCTCGACACTTCCCAAAATGTCTATTCTTTCAAGTTTAAACGCAGCTCTCTCGGTCAATATTGCACGAAATTGCACAGGGCGTATATCAAAATTTAAGTTAAACAATACTGAATGCAATGCACGTAGTTTAGGTGTAATAGCTCTTTTAGTTTTTAAGTTAAAATAAATCAAACAGGTTAACTTTTTTTTGCGCCACCCGGTATGTTACTCAACAGTTAACATTGGCTAGGGGTGCACTGGAACAAATTTTTAAAGTTCCGGCCGGAACCGGATCTAGTTGGAAAGTTCCGGCCGGAACCGGAACTGATTCATTAAGTGATATATGGTCATCATATGTTACTTTGTCTGCTGCCAGACAGTCACTGTCAGTCAGACACTTTCAGTCACCAAGGAGAGAGCATGCAAATGTTAGAATAAAAAGATTGATTTAACCGTCATAATAAAGTGTTAATAGTGTATATTTATCTTGTGTAGTCCAAATGAATCCCTATTTTGTTTAAAACCTCGACCGTACGTATGTCTGTGATTCTGTATGTAACATAAATATACAATACGTTAGTATGGCTTCCGATTACGTGCAGAGGCGTAGCCAGGATTTTTGGTTGGGGGGCAGCAAAAACCTAGGTGGGGCCAAGCCGCCAGTGACTCGAGACGCAAAGTTTCGTAGAAATTTGCAATAGCCGGTTCCCCTTATTCTCAATACATTTCGGACATGTTATTGTATAATGAAGAGAATAGCCACAAAGTATCATGGTAATAAGGGGAACCGGCTATTGGGATTTGAAAGATTTGCAATTGAAATGTTTTTTAAACCGAATCCGCGTTAAAAATTCACTGGTAAAAAAAACCCAGATTGGTTCAAACTTCATCTAACCCTCATTTAATACATTTTGAAATAATTAGGGTTAGAAAAGGTACGTGTTTCAAGCTGTGTGCCGCAAATAAGCGAACAAGATTTTAGGTTTCACACTGATGTGCAGCAAAGCACATATACTACAGAATATTTGCATTGTTGACAGTATGAAGCTACATAATCAAGGATTCCCTTTTTTATACAATACATTTTATCAGGGGGAGAGGGGGGGGGATTTTTTGCCATCGGGGGCCAGGCCCCCCCAGCCCTGGCTACGCGTCTGATTACGTGCTTAGATTTTGTTCCACGCGTAAAAACTCGACAAAATGTGTTCACACTGTTTGTAAAAAGTCTGGAACGAAGCTGTTATCATCTTGTAACAAGGTTGATGAAGCTCGTAACAACCTGTTACGAAAAGCCTGTATTAGTCCTTGTTGGAACTTGTAGCAAGTCTTTCATGTTTCGCTCACTACTCTGGTTTAAATAAATAATTACAAAGCCCAGTCGAATTGTAATCAAGGCCCAACGTTTCGACACTCCAGTCTAGTGTCTTCATCAGGGGTGATCTAAAACTGCGATCGTGGCTTC